CCCCTTTGCGGTGGCAGCAGGATTCAGTCTGGTCTTGGTCGCCGTCGAGACGCTGTACCTGTACTTTTGCCTGCCAGAAACTCTGCCGTCTTTGGCCGGCGGTGCGGCGGCCAAGGCAAATGCGCCCAGCGAGAAGGATGGAGAGGCCAGGCAGGTGACGCGGACAAACTCACGCTTCCTGCTTTACGCAACTCATTTTGTGTTTCTGCTGTTCTTCTCAGGAATGGAGACGTCCCTTTCCTTTATGACGTACGATTTGTTCCAGTTCACGTCTGGGAAGAATGGCAGGTTGCTTGGATACATTGGCCTGGTAGCCTCTGTGTTCCAGGGAGGCATCACTCGCCGACTGACCCCCCTTTTGTCCGTACGCATCGGCACCGTCGCCTGCCTCACAGCCTTTATTCTCCTCAGCCGTCTTTCCACCCTTGGAGGCCTATATGCCGCAGCGACCTGTCTCGCCATCACATCAGCGACAGTCGTGACGGGCCTCAACGCTCTCAGCAGCTTCGAAGCCAACGAGCACGAACGCGGAAGCAAGCTGGGCATCATGCGGAGCTGGGGCCAGCTGGGTCGTGGATTGGGACCGATCGTATTCACAAGCGTATACTGGTGGGCAGGAAGAGAATCTGCGTACACCATGGGTTCCATGGGTGCCCTTGTCGTTGTCACGGTCGCGTTTATGGGGTTGAAGGCTCCCAAAGGATTGACTGGACCAAAGGCGACTGCAAAGAAGAGTCAGTAGGATCAGCGTACGTGGGAGGATCCGGTCCTCCGCCTGGCGATGGAGGCTCACTGTGATGCAGCACAAGAGGAATGGAGAGACAAGCCGGTAGAAATGCCGAAGCATACATACATTGATAGAAGCGAGCGATTGTACAGTAACAGATGCAAGCAAATCGAACAGGTAGATGCAGGGTTGAACTGATGGTCATTCAACGAGAGGAATTCAACGTCTTTGTTATTTTAGATTTATCATATCGTAGGTGAGGTACCAGGTAGTAGGTACCTCTAAATAACGTGTCATCCATCGCTTTGCAATGTTGTGAGGAAAGAACCGGGCAAGGTGAATGAATGCCCCAGGCATCCAGACGCCAGGGGAAGTACTGTCGAGTGTCTACGTCAAAAGAGGGCATCACATCTTAACAGGATGATAAGTACTATACCCATGTATGCTCAGAAAATCTTGGCTCTATAATCGCAGAGGCAATTTCACATAGCAAGGCAAAAAAGAAACAGTAAGAGATTGCCGGAAGAAAGAAAAAACAAGGCAAAAAAAAAAAAAAAAAGAGAGGGCCGATGCGAAATCGAACCATCGTATGCCCGCACCCGGATTTGCACCAGGATCCTTGGCTATCACCTACGCAGAGAGAATAGGAGTCCAACGAGTTGCTCTTACTCTATACGGGCGCCAGCTTGAACCACTCGACCATACGGAACGGCGGTTGTGTTGGGACAAGGAATACATATCGGGGCTTATAAGGGACAGCAAGGCCGTAAAGGGACGGGAGTGCTGGCAGCTGTCTGGACGCCGAGGTGGTACGTGATGGGGGCTGGAGCACACAAGCAAATCTCGGGGCTCTAGGACGACGGCAAACGGAGAGACGACATAAAGGCTGTCTACCGGGTGGCTTATGTAGGAACAATGAGTAGCATTAAGGGAGAGGGATTCTATGAGCACTCTTCTCTTTCTTCGGGAGATAGCAATCCTGCCAGCTTCATTGTTAACTAGGCGTCGACCGACGTGTGGATTGAATTGAACTCCTTACCATGATTTCTACCTGGTAGCTTTTGCCATGGCCAGGCACCGATGATGGCTCGTATCCCATCTGCTTGTCTCGGCATACCGAAGGACTACAGCGGACGCAACTATAGATTGCGTCTGCTGTAGTCGTTCCGCACACAAAGGCTGGCATTGGGGCGATGGAGCAAGCCCACCATCTTCCACTTCTCATCTGACGAATTGTGCTTCATATCCGATGATTTTTGAGCTACCCAGCAAGGAGCAAGGCAACTGCAAGAGTACTGCTTGTCGATAAGAACCCTGCAATTGCCCAGATCGTTGCGGAGTATCTCAAAAAATCTCCGAATAGGCAGCACATCTCTGCAGATGAGAAGTGGAAACTGGTGGTGCAGATGAATGGCACAGGCGGGTATTCAGATGCACAGTGTAGGTATTCTTTACTGCAACACGTCAATGTATGACCATCCTCAGGCTGTGGAGTGGAAGCCGATGTGAAGCAAGCTATACAGTATGTCATCGCCCAAGGCATGGGGCGTTTGCTCGGGGATGGAAACAAACTGCTCGCCGGCAGAATAGAAGCAAAGTAAAGATCCGTGGCTCTGCTTTAGAGACTGGATAGCCTCACGATAAGGCTCGAGATGATTCCTCTTTCCTGGAGCTTGATGGCTTAGCAATTGAGCAGAGATTGAAGGCTTTTGTGAATCAACGGCGACTACATCATACGTAGCAGGGAGCCACCCTAGATCCGATGATCAAAGACCCGGCTTGCCTCCTGCTCAAACAACCCACTGAGTTGGATATGGATGAGAGAACTCAAACTCACGAGGGACGGAAACTTTGCCTTGTATATCCTGAAGAGTCACACCGAGGCTTGTTGGTAGATGAGGTTAAGCTTCAGCTATGCCATCGATAACGGGACGGATGGGCCCACGCTAGCTAGAGAAGCTGGGCTTCGACCAACAATAAATACCATGGCGCTTGCAAGCCCCGACGGCAAATTGATCCGTGTCTAGTTCGGCAAAGTGAAGCGCTGGGCACTGCTGCTTCAGACGCGCGGATGCATCGTCAACGTGGTCGAAGCCTTTTGGACGGGGCTGCAGCAGCTTCAAATACTGATACGCACGAGACCTTCCCCTCACTCCCAACATACTTTTCAGGCACTATTTCTGATACATCATGAGCTCCATACTATGTCTGTGGCTGCATCTCTCATTCGGCGTTTTCCAAAAGGAACCGAGGACAAGTACTGTACATGGGTAGATAAATGGATAGATCAGAACTTGGCAGCGAAAAGAAAGAAAAAAAACCTGCAGGCGGTGGCAATGCCCAGGCGATGGGCAAATGGGATAGAATGCATGAAGTGGGGGGGAGTGTTGACGTTTCAGTGTGGGCTTGGAAAAAGAGTGAGCATGAGTGGAGGGGCTGATGGAGGGGTAACATGTGAGTGGGAGTGGGAAGAAAAGAACCCATCGAGAGCGGGAAAAATGGCTCTGGCGATATCATGCTCGTACATTTTACAGGGGAGTCGAATTACTAGTCCTACTGCAGTAGCTGCAAGTGATGATGGCGGAGCTAGAGACACCGAGTTTCATGTAGGGGAGATGGAGATGGAGATGGAGATGGTAGTCGAATGGGTTCTGAAGATGGCCGACAAGAAGAGCACATCAATCAGCCCGGTAGGGAGTTTTTCGCCACGGGCTTTTCCACCCAGATAATCGAAACACAGCGAGTCGAAGACATCATAACATGCCCATCACGACGGCTTCACACACCGCCTTTGACTCACTCGTTCGTGTGGTGTAACAGACTCGCGATGTGGGAGATAAGGAGATGGGAGGTACCGGTACTTTCATCCTGGGTGAAGCCCAAGCGAAGAGGAGCGAGTTGGGCAAAAACTGGCGCGCGCCAGCAGCTGGAGTGTGGGTGGATTGGGCAGTGAGAAGAAAAAAGAGGAAGAAAAAAGACAATTGGGGGGGGGGGGGGATGCACACTTAGTACTAAGGTAGTACCTTAGTAGTAGCAGCAGGTCAAATCGTACAGATTCACTTTGCTATCAGAGCATGGCCCCCATACTATGTGTTTTTGTTTTGTTTACTCGTACTAGTATGTGTCCTTTGTCTCCCGTTTTACTTTTTGTTTGCGTCACACCGAGTTGTTGAATGTGAAGCTTTTGTGAAGGCATGTAAAGTGGCCGATGACTCTTCAAGATCCGCCTGGGATGCGTATACTACTACTAAGGTACTGGGTAGGAGCGCGAGCAGCCATCTGGAGGTATCAAATACGAGTGCAGGTATAGACCACATCACCTTGGTATTGAGATGGAGCAGCACGTACTGGGTACTGGGTACACACGGCGAACAGAGCGGTGCATACAGGTAGCGGTGGGAGTGTGTACGAGTATGTACCGGCACCCCGTACTGCGGAAAGGATAGGTTCGCTGGAAACTAAAAGTGCTGCAAGTGATAACCACCATCATTTTAGGCACCAGGCTGGCGCTTCACATCTCGGCCCTCGAAACGAGTCCATCACTGAATTGAACCACGGCAGAACTCTACGTAATCGCCTCACAACTTGCAAGGGATTCCAAGGCTTCCATCGGTCTGACTCTTGTTTTGCTTGCATGTACACCTCAGCTTCGTCCGTACTGTATGTTCCACCATCATACCAGATCGTATCGTGGCGGGCACTTAACAAGGGCGAGCTCCAATCGCGGCATCCCATTGGCCACATCGCCCACAGCCACTAAGGCGCTCAGGCGAGAAAAAAATTTCTTGCGGATTTGCGGTTGCTTTGAGTGGGAGGCGGGAGGGCAGAGAAAAATATTATTCGTTGGGGCTCGCTCGTTAGGGCTAGACCATGCCGCTTATTTTGCCCCTCCTCAAGGCTTTTTTTCACAAGCCCCGTTTGCTGCCCCGCGCGTGGTAGAAAAAAAAAAGCACAGAGCAATAGCGTTGCACCCCTCCACCCCTCCGGCCGCCTTTTAAATCTCCTCCTCCCACCATCTGCTTTCGAAATTTTCTTCTCTTCTGCTCTTCGTCTCGCATACCCGGTTCAAGCATCCGATCTGCGAATTTGTATGTGCTGCTCTCTCCCTTTGCCCTCGCCTCGGTGATTGCATCTTGCAACACCTGCAACATCATCGTCATCATCATCGTCGTCGTCGTCGTCTGAGGAATATCTCCAGCTGACTCTGCTTGCTTCCAGTACTCTTTAGTCAAGGACTACACAGCTCTCACGCTAAATTTCACAAACCGCAAAAATGGGTAAGGAGGACAAGACTCACATCAACGTGGTCGTTATCGTACGTACAATCCTTTTCCCTCGCGTCGGCATCATTCGCCGCTCTGATTCTCAAACACTTGTGCTAACAACCCTCTTCTAGGGGTGCGTATTCCATCAATCGTCTTGAATGAGATCGGTCGAACACAACACTGACTTGCTACAACAGCCACGTCGACTCCGGCAAGTCGACCACCGTGAGTTACACCCTCTTCCTCTTGCTCCGACACCAAACGCTGTCGTTTGATGCCGGACATGTACTATCTGAACTCTAGGCTAACCATCCATCATACAGACTGGTCACTTGATCTACCAGTGCGGTGGTATCGACAAGCGTACCATCGAGAAGTTCGAGAAGGTAAGCGCCAACTGACTTTCGCCTCGATTCTCCCTCCACATCCAATTGTGCTCGATCATTCTGAAGAGAATTGTCGACAATTTTTCATCACCCCGCTTTCCATTACCCCTCCTTTGCAGCGACACAAGATTTTTTTTGCTGTCGTTTGGTTTTAGTGGGGTTCCTTGTGCACCCCCACTAGCTCACTGCTTTTTTTTTGTGCTTCACTATCACTACCCAGCCGTCGTTCAACGTGCTCTGTCTCTCGTCATCCAGTGATGCTAACCACTTTTTCCATCAATAGGAAGCCGCCGAACTCGGCAAGGGTTCCTTCAAGTACGCTTGGGTTCTTGACAAGCTCAAGGCCGAGCGTGAGCGTGGTATCACCATCGACATTGCCCTCTGGAAGTTCGAGACTCCCAAGTACTATGTCACCGTCATTGGTATGTCTCCTTCATCACCCCGATGCAGCAATTACAAGCCAGTGCTAACAGGCAATTCACAGACGCTCCCGGCCACCGTGATTTTATCAAGAACATGATCACTGGTACTTCCCAGGCCGATTGCGCTATCCTCATCATTGCCGCCGGTACTGGTGAGTTCGAGGCTGGTATCTCCAAGGATGGCCAGACTCGTGAGCACGCTCTGCTCGCCTACACCCTGGGTGTCAAGCAGCTCATCGTGGCCATCAACAAGATGGACACTGCCAACTGGGCCGAGGCTCGTTACACCGAGATCATCAAGGAGACTTCCAACTTCATCAAGAAGGTCGGCTTCAACCCCAAGGCTGTTGCTTTCGTCCCCATCTCCGGCTTCAACGGAGACAACATGCTCCAGGCCTCCACCAACTGCCCCTGGTACAAGGGCTGGGAGAAGGAGACCAAGGCTGGCAAGTCCACCGGCAAGACCCTCCTTGAGGCCATCGACTCCATCGAGCCCCCCAAGCGTCCCACGGACAAGCCCCTCCGTCTTCCCCTCCAGGATGTCTACAAGATTGGTGGTATCGGAACGGTTCCCGTCGGCCGTATCGAGACTGGTGTCCTCAAGCCCGGCATGGTCGTCACCTTTGCTCCCTCCAACGTCACCACTGAAGTCAAGTCCGTCGAGATGCACCACGAGCAGCTCGTCGCGGGCCAGCCCGGTGACAACGTTGGTTTCAACGTCAAGAACGTTTCCGTTAAGGAAATTCGCCGTGGTAACGTTGCCGGTGACTCCAAGAACGACCCCCCCATGGGTGCCGCTTCTTTCACCGCCCAGGTCATCGTCATGAACCACCCTGGCCAGGTCGGTGCCGGCTACGCCCCCGTTCTTGACTGCCACACTGCCCACATTGCCTGCAAGTTCGCCGAGCTCCAGGAGAAGATCGACCGCCGTACCGGTAAGGCTACCGAGACTGCCCCCAAGTTCATCAAGTCCGGTGACTCTGCCATCGTCAAGATGATTCCCTCCAAGCCCATGTGCGTTGAGGCTTTCACCGACTACCCTCCCCTGGGTCGTTTCGCCGTCCGTGACATGCGACAGACCGTCGCTGTCGGTGTCATCAAGGCCGTCGACAAGTCCGCTGCCACCGCTGGCAAGGTCACCAAGTCCGCTGCCAAGGCCACCAAGAAATAAGCGATACCCATCATCACCACCTGATGTTCTGGGGTCCCTCGTGAGGTTTCTCCAGTGGGGCACCGTGCGCTCACTTCTACGACGAAACGATCAATGTTGCTATGCATGAGCACTCGACTATGTATCGAGGCACGTTAATTGAGAGGCTGGGAATAAGGGTTCCATCAGAACTTCTCCGGGAATGCAAAACAAAAGGGAACGAAAAAAAAATTAGATAGAAGTTAATTGACAACTTCGACAACCAATTTCTGTGTCTCGCTCCGTGCTGATGTATGAAGCTGTGTAAAATTCTTGTCTTGTCATTGTGATGTTTGTTGTGTTGACCCTTGGATGTCAGTTTGAGGCGGGGTTTTTTTTTTTTTTGCGCGCTGTAGTCTAGGGGCGCTTAGTGGACTAGAGGTGCTAACGGCACTTGTCTACAGGCTCCAATTAGGCTCGCTGTAGGTCACCGCTACAGAAGCTGGAAGCACAGCACCATAGCCCGCTGAAGAAGTCAAAGGAAGGACACATGGAGGCACTCTTCAATTGGCATTCATGATACTATCACCACTTTGAAGTAATCAATCGTCAGCTCTTTACAAAAAAGCCACAGCCGATTTCCAGCTCCAAAATTAGTCGTACAAATTTCTGCGAGGACTATAGATCTATATATGTGTACCTATCATTGTGCTTTTATGTACAGGGCATCGTGAGAGTGGAATCGTTGCTTCATCTTGGGAAAGAGCAAAAAAAAAAAAAAAAAAAAAAAAAAACGCCGTTGGAATGTCCTTGCCCTTGACATCGCCGATGCACTCCTAGTAACCAAACCAAAATACATCTTGTTGTTCTTTTCATGCTATTATTTATTCACGCTCTGGCTCCTTCGCCTTGTCAGGATTAGGAGATTGAATGCCCTCGGATGGTTCAGCTATAGTGATGTCGGGGGCTGTCTCGGTCGAAGAACGACCATCTTGATGCTCAGTAGTTTGCAACGCTTCAGATTCAGTGCTCTGAACATGCTCGTAGTCCTCGGTTTCAGCCTCTAATGATGGCAGTTGATCCTCCGTGGCTTCGTCCTCGAGCGTACCTACGTCTGGTATTTCTCGCATAAGTTGAGACCCGTTGTGCCATGAAAAGTACTTGCCAGTAGCTACCCCTTCGACTAGAGATAGGAAGCGTGACACCTCAGCCTTGTCAAGCATAAACGATGGTTCGTCTTTGGTTTGTGGAGGGCCGGCTTGAAGAGAAAGCTCTTGCCGGTGGCCTCCATGTCGGCCTGCATCAATGCTGCTGTAGCACAGCGTGTGGCCATGGAGCTCGATTTGGACGGTTTGATGAATTTCCAACCCCATGAATATGTATGGTACATTGATGGTGGCCTTGGAAGGTTTGCGGGTTGTTTTAGCCTTGGTTATCCATGCTTTGGGGATGGAGAACTTGGCTTTGCTGGGTGTTTTCAGAACACCCTGGGGGAGATTGAATTCGCTTTGCGATAAAAATTGCTTGACGGACTCTTGGCTTGCATCAAGCGGAAGAAGATGGCTTTGCGTCAGGCGAACATCGACGCTTTCGCTGGGCATAAGCACGTCACTGATATGCTGTGCTGCAACCCCAAAGAGGGCTGAGCCAGGCGGGAGAGAGATGCCGGCAAGGTCGCTGTCGGGATTGACTGGTAGTTGAAGTTGTATCGTGGGGGGCGCGGAGTCATATCTTGAGGAGGAATGATTGAGGTCTGGAGAAAAGTTGAGAACAATCATCGCGCGCTGCGTTGTAGGCTTGTCTTCTTCCACGATGGATGTAAACGACGCCGGATGAGGAAGGACGGGTGAAAGCAGTCGGCGATGCTTCGCCATTGCAGCCACTGTCTGTGAATGCTTCCCATGAAGCACATGTCCGAAAGAAGCTGTGACTTGGTGGACCGGTTCGGTTCCTTTTGTTACCTTGAGATCGGAAATGACATTGAGGAATTGCGTTGAAACGTCATCCCCTGAGGCGCTGGCTTGGCCAACTGGTGTGACGAATCTTGACCACTGCCCGAGCTTATCTTTCCAAGACATACTCCTGTTTTCCCTCTGATGGCTAACAAAAGCTCCGTCTTTGGGATTGCTGCTGTCTGAGGGTGTGATAATATGGACACTGGTCTGGATATCCTCGGTGGTCTGCTCCAATAAAAGTCGCAAGGCGATATCAGCCGGGGATTCTGTACTGGTGGCAGCAGGGTGCTGCTTCTGCAGCCAAGATATTTCAAGCTCCTAATTATTCGTTAGCCTAGGACAACCTAGCAGCATGGCAATTGAAGCATACTTGATTGTTCTCATCGTAAGCAATATGCGTCTTGGTGATTCGTTCTAGCTCTCGGAGAAGTTTCTCGTCTAGGTCGTCGTGCCCTTGAATAAAACTCGAGGAGATTTTCTGGCACCGAATTGATTTGACCGTTTCGTCAAGGTGGGAGAGGATGGCGGGAATGGTGGATTTCTGGGCGTAGATATTGATCCGGTGATCGTCAAAACTTGTCGTGATTTTCTCCTTGTTAGACTGATACAAAAAGTCTCTGGAGAGTAGCTCAAGTACGGCACTATTAGGGGCTAGAACGAGGATGTAAGCTCGGATTCGCTCTTGATCGAGCGGTTGTCAGCAAGACTTACAAGCGATCAACTCAAAGATGCGAGGTTGTAGCCAGACAAGAGTTCTGCCCAAGCCTTCAACCTGCTCTTGAACCTCCAGATGCCATATGATTTGCATAATCATAATCACCTGTCGTTGCTTCGGCCTAAGCGGCCCCCAGTGGTCAGGTTTTGCAGCAACCCATGGGTCCTGTTTGACGATCCAGGGATAGCGCAACGGCGTTCCTTGATCTCTCTTGGGCAAGGCCAGGCGCTTCTGGTTGAAGTATTTGGCAAGTTGATTGAATGTGAAACCGTCCAGCAGAGTATTTGCCAGAGAATCGAAATCCTTCATTCGTAGAATCGTCTTGTCGACGGGCCGCAGGTCATCGATATTCTTCATCGCCGCTGCCATTGCCTCCTCATCACTCTCCTCTTTCACATCCACCATATTATCCCTTTCCGTATCGAGCTCAACCGTAGCTTCCACCGCATCTTCTTGAACTCTTCGCACGGCCCTCTTGGGTCTCTTCATTTCGTTGGGATTCTTTAACATGATGGCATCGATCTGCTCTCCAAGAGCCGCAACGGAGACGCTCTTGGACTGCACGAGTTCATCATGGATGTCTCTCTTAGCTTTGAACTCCCGCTTGGGCCTGGTTTGGCTAGGTGCAGCTGCATCGGCCTCCGTGACGATAGCCTCCTCTTGAGAAGTAGATTGCCCTAGTTGATTTGATTCGTCCGCGTCGAGTTCTTCTGCAGCAGACTCCTCTTTGAGAAGCACCTCTTCGGCAAGCATTTTCACAAGCTCTTCTGAAAGCTCGCCTTCAAACTCTTCTCCCAAGTGTCGCTCTATAGCCGCCTGCGTCGTAGGATTGGACTCGATTTCCAAGGGTGCCAGCCCCCGATCGGGTATCCCTTCCTCTCTTCGACGGCGCCATGGCTTACGACTGTATGGCTTCCTGAACGGCCTCTTGGATGTCTCCTTGATCGATTTCTTAAACTCGCGTTGACTGATCTTGCCCGATATCAGCGCCTCTATCTTCTCTTTGCTATGAATGACGGGATCGGAGCTGTAGCATCGCTGCTGGATCCATTCTCCACGACTGTGACTGTGTAAGCTGCGATTGCTTAGCGTAGCTCTGGCTGATGGAATCGACGAGGAGAGGCGGTTGGCAAAACAGGCGCGCGGCACATTCACCGCTCTGGAAAGCATTGAGGCAGTGGATTGAATGTTACATAAACGGCAACATGAAATGGGCACAGCTCGATATCGTCCCAAGCAAAAGATGTAGTAGAGAAAGAGAGCTCTTCGCTTTGAACGATGCGATGCGACGAACCGGTTGAGCACCTTGAAGTTTGTGTGATAAGGCTTATCGATAAACCGATAATGAGCGTCACCGAAGCCATTTACCCGATAACTAATCAGACGCGCTTCGGCCGTTGCGGCGCGTCTCCCCTCCAAAAGGTTTCACAGAGCCCCTCGTTTGCCGATTCATTGCAGCTGGACTTGTTGCCAATAACATTCAGTGAGCATTCATTTGTCATTTGTCTTTCTTTTGGCCTCGTAGTTACGGCCAATTGCGCATACAAACAGCCTCATGCCGCCCTCGCAAAGAAGACGTCGTCAGGTAGGTGCAAGCTCAGCGGTAGATGGACATTTGGCTGTCTCTCTTTGTTGTTCTGACACGCAGACTCAATCAGGTGGACGAGGACGGAGACGCAGAAGAGGATGCTCGTCCTCGACAGCGCCAACACATCGAGGCCTCGGAGGCTGAACAAGACGAGGATATGTCCGATGAAGATACGGAGATGAACGGTGCCGCCTCGGGTGCCGACGACCAAATGGCCAAGAAGCTAGTTCGATACGCAATCTCATGCGAGTATTCGAGAACACCGATAAAGAGAGATGGAATTAAGGAGCGAGGTATTGGGGCCGGACTGATAGATGCCAAAGGAACGGGATGAAATGGTCTGCTAACCAAGCTGCGGTATAGTACTCGGGAAACAAGGTCGTTCGTTCAGAAGGGTATTCGAGTTGGCGCAAATACAACTGAGAACAGCCTGGGGCATGGAGCTGCGCGAGTTACCCGTCCGTGAGAAAATGACACTTCATGAAAAGAGACAAGGTACGTTGGCTGTGGCGCAAAGCATCGGCCTATCCATTACTTTCCGGAACACTAGTAACTGACTCTGACTGTACACGAATGGCAGCTATGAAGTCCAACGCACAGCCCAAGACCGGTTCGGGTGCCTATATCCTGTCTTCAACATTGCCAGAGGTATACCGAAGCGCATCGATCCTAAAGCCATCCAAGGTCCCAAGTGCGGAGCAGGAAGCAACCTATTCTGCATTCTACACAATGATTGTTTCGTTGATATGGCTGAACGGGGGGGAGCTCAGCGAGCAGAAGCTTCAGAGATATCTCATGCGGCTCAATGCCGATCGGATGCTGGCAAGCGAGAGAACAGAACTGGCGATGAAGCGCATAGAGAGACAGGGATATGTGATCAAAAAAGTAGATCGGCCGCCAGTCGGTTACGAGGGCGACCAGACCATCACTTGGCATGTCGGTCCCCGAGCGAAGGAAGAAATTGGACTGGATGGTGTCATTGGGTTGGTGCAAGAGGTCTACGGCCACCCTGAGGATGAGACCTTTGACAAGAAGCTTCGATCGAGTTTGGGTATTAAAAGTAGACCACTCGCCGAAGGAGGGGAGGATTATAACGATGCTGGCATGACAAACGGGGCGTAGCATAGGCGATGATACCATGGCGGCGTTTGTGATTTATACAACTCAGAGTTGGCTTCTTCTTGATAATTTCTCTCTTCAAATTCCTGTTACCAACCTTTGGGATGCTTGTAGTCGTTGCTTGATTATAGGGGTATCTTGCCGTACGAATTTGCCGTTCCATGACGCCATTCTCATGTGCAAACAATACACAAAGCACACACACACACATATATATACATACACATCTTTCAATAAACCAAATCTTGCCATATCTAGGCCAAGCATTTCTCATAGCGCGCTTCGATGTCGGATATCAATTCAATCTTCGCGTGGTGGTGGAGGTCCGCATGGCTGGATCATTTTCTGTGCGCCGAATAAAATCGAAGCGTCAGCAAGAGAGAGTTTTTGGGCCAATCCCGGCCCCATACGCGCAAAAGAAGCCGGATTTACATACCCTAATCATTTGAGCCCGCGTCTTCGTCAATGGCTCGTTTTCAGCCAACGAAATGTATGTGAGAAGCGGTCGGTGGCCGACGATGGAGGCAAAGGTATCTCGCTGGATGTTCGTCCTCCACTCCCAGCTAGAGGTATCCGGATGGCCAGTGCCGATATATTTGGCCTGGAGACGTTCGAGTTCCTGCTGGTTGCGAAGCTTGTCGGCCTAGTGTCGAGGACAGCAGAATTAGCAAGGATACGCGATTGAGAATTGCGCGGACGAGATTGCAGGCATGGCCACTTACCATGGCGACGATTCAGATGCAGCAACGAAATGTGCTAAACGGCGCGTAATTTTTCTCAATCAGCGTTTTAGATTAAAGAGAGACGGAAATTGAACAAGAAACTGCTTAGAACCAAAGGCGCAACTGGGGTTCAGCCGGAGCTGTGTTGAGCTTGGACGAATTGGCGACCGGATCAAGCTCGGCTGAATAAGGGCAGAATGTCGGGGCGATTTATTTCTGCAAGATGAGGTCAGCGCCGGCCGTGTTGACACATGCCATTTCGAGCGGCATGCGGTTCTGCATCTGTACATGTACTTGCCGTATCTATGTAAACTGCATACTCGGTGCGGTACATGAACATTTTCAATTCCAAATTCAATCCTTATCGACAAACCTTGTTATTCATCTGCTATCGAGAAAAAGGCAACTTGAGCCTCAATCTTCTTTTCTTTGTCTACCTTGGACGACTTCGTTATTCGGGGCATATCTAGCCTCTAACCGGGCTAGCCAGGTTTCTCTTTTCCGGCTTACTCAGAAGTAGCATTGCCTTTTACTTGACAGCATCGGGGATCAAGAGTGAGACCAAGCGCGTCTCTCGACGAAAACAGAGGGCATTTCTAATCTGGGATACAACCAACTCTCATTCGCCACGGTTCTTGATTTTTATTTTTATGCTATTTTTTATTTATTTATTTTCCCTCTTCATTTTTATTTGCTTTCATTGTTTCAGGACGTTGAAATAATTTGAGAAGCTGGCATTCTCCTCTCTTACCCGTGAAGGGAACAATCCACAGCCATGGCTCAACCACTCACCACCCCAGAACATTGGACAGAGCTCATTGCCGCCAGGAGGCAGAGGCGGCTTTGTTCGGAACACGTGGAAGCGTTGAAGCGCTCTTGCGCAGGCGAATGCGGGAAAAGACACGTCTCCGAGTGCGCAAAGTGCTGGTCTCTAGTCCTCGAGAGGATGCGCCAGAGGTACAGCGAGGGCCAAGACCGCGAATGGTTCACGTATAGGAAAGCGTTTTACCAGGAGCTGCAAAGCCTGTTTGCAGACGCGAAGCAGCGCAAGATAAGCGTCAGGCAGATTGAGGCGCGGATAGATTCGGAAAAGGAAGCGTGGTATCGATGGGTCCTGAGGAAACACCCCGAGTACATCGTCACCTGCGATGTTCAGCATGTCCACGAGGAGTTGAGAGCCATGCTGGACGACCCGGATCGGTCACGCGACGAGGTGGTGGGCATGGTGTGGCGAGGAATCGGGAAGCCCCCCGACTGGGCTGAGCATGTGGATGCGTTTGCGGTAGAGGTTGCTGCTGCTGGGGGCAATCCGGCCGCCCTGAAGAGACTCTACGTGAAGGAGTTCTTCATGGATCATGAGACGGGCGAGCCGCTGCAACATTCGAAGCCGTTTCTGGATGAATACACCTCCAACGAAAACATGAACATCGAAGAGGCGTTTGGCAAGTTCAGCAAGGAAGCGCACGAGATCAAGATTATGATACCCCAGCGGGAATTCTTCGTGAATCGGCTGAATGACCTTCGAAGGGCCAAGATGGCCGATGATCTGGAAAAGACGCAGCAGGCTACAATCGAGGCTCAAGCAGCCCAGGAGCGGATATCGGGTGATGAGCTCTACAACCTACCTCCATGTTCGGTGTGCGGAAAGGTCGTGGACACAAACGACGTCTTCTCTTGCACCGTATGTCAGGCCACTGTGCAGATTGGAGGCAACCAGGGACTTACGGTTTACTGCTCCGAGGAGTGCTATGACGCTGGACACGTATGTGCTTCCCCAACCCCCGTCGGCATCAACTGTGCGAGTAACCTGCTAACTCTCTTTCCGCCTAGGCCAAGCATGTTGATGAGATGCATCGCTGCCATGCCGGAGACCACTGCGTGCAGAACCGCGATAACGGACCAGAAGAAGACGTCGTCATGGAGGATGAGGCTGCACTTGACGCGTTTGCCTGCAAAGACTGCGTGGGCCTGAAACGGCTGACACTGTTCTGCTCAGAACGCTGTGCGTCTGAAAACATTGCCAGACACCAACACGAGGAACACGAGACCAAGATAGAGGCGGAGGCAGCTTCCAGTTGGGTGAGTTCGTTGTCCCACGAGATCGAGTCGATCCTCAGTCGAGAGAATCCAGGGATAAAGATGGTGTTGATGTGATGGGACGGCGGCGGCGTTCCTTTTTTTGTATATTGCAAGTGTAATAGTATATAATGATTATCGTGATGAGATATCTGGTAGCTAAAGGTTATCTATCAATATACCTTGTTTCCTTTTTTTTTTTATGGCATACAACTCGGACAAATAAACGAAACGGCTGCGTTATTCTATACAAAAGGCATTACTAGGAGGTTTGTCCATGTTGTCTCATTTGTGCAATGCAATGCAAGGCTGCTATAGTATATAAGCCACTCTAATTAGCGTGGTTCGCAACGGGTTCTATGGTCTAACGGTTATGACTCCGGATTTTGATTCCGGCAGCGAGGGTTCGACTCCCCCTAGAACCTAACCCGTTATTTTGAAATTTTTTTTCAATCTTTGTCTTTTTTTTTTTTTTTTTTTTGTATTTTGCAATGTTTCTTCTACCTACGAGCAGTTGATTTCAGAGAAGGGCATTATTTATTGTTTCGAACGGACCAATGGATACACAATCAATACGTGACGAGTGAATGCCAACTTTCTCTATTATATCGTGGCTGTTATAGACATAGCTTTCTAGTAAGCCCCTATATCTACACGTCTAATTTTTATTTTGTTCTCTCATCACATCATTCAGTTCTCAGTCTCTCGACTGCTTCCCTTTTCACTGGAGCTTCCCTTTTCGCTCGATCTATCCTCCTCTTTACCCGCAGCCCCCTCGCTTGCGGAATCGACCAGTCCATATCGAATGGCGTATTCTTCCACCTCTTGGTGAGAAAGATATGGCAGCTCCTTGGCAGCCTTGACGTACGACATGTTCTCGACATGGCCCTTGGCGAAGATGATGTCAATCTCTTCCAGCGATCTGTTTGCGGTCTATACTGGTTGTTAGCGAGGGCGAAACAATGCATGTACTTGGGATACAAAGAGCCACATACCTCTGGGTAGAAGAAATAGAGAACGGGGAAGAAGCATGCATTTACCACGGCAAAGAACAAATACGTTCCCCAGCCGATTCGGTTAATCATGATTGGGGTGATCATGACGATGAAGAAGTTGAAGAGCCAGTTGGTACATGTCGAAACGGCGTTTGCCTTTGCGCGAGTCTTGATGGGGCTGATCTCGGCAGGGTAGAGCCAAGGAAGAGGGAGCCAGGTAGCTCCAAACGAGGCGATGTAAGTGAAGAGACCGACGGCAGCTCCCTTGGCCGCGTTGGGATTTCCCGGGATCAGGCACGCGAAAGTCAGGACCATGGAGAGCATCTGGCCGGCCGTTCCCCAGAGGAAAAGCTTCCGGCGCCCAACCCGCTCGATGATGAACCAGGACACGGTGGCAAAGGCAGAGTAGACAATCATGTTGACGCCGCCGAGCAGCATGGCCATGTTGTGAGACTCGCCGATGGAGTTTTGGAACAGGATGGGGAAGTAGTAGATGACGGCGTTGCAGCCGCCGACTTGCTGCATGAACTGGGACGAGGCGCCGAGCAACATGCGTCGGAAGTGCTGCGTCTTGCCGTTGGTGAAGAGAGCCTTGACGGGTGTGCTCTTTTGACCGGCGAAACCCGAGGCCCTGATGGAATCGAGAATGATGTCCCGCTCCGTCTTGGTCTCTTGGCTGTCGATTTCATATCCGCGGAGGGCGGCAATGGTTCGCTCAGCCTCCTCATATCTCTCGTGTGTGAGAAGCCAGCGAGGGCTGTCGGGGAGCCAGATCATTGCCGTGCTGAAGAGCAGGGCAAAGGTGATTTGGAAAGCAATGGGGAATCGCCAAACCAGGTCGTCAGGCCCGTACGATGCGCCGTAGTCGATCCAGTACGCAATCAGCGATCCAAAGGCAATGATGCCTCCTTCGATACAGATGAGAAGACCACGGTTGGACGTCTTGCTGCACTCGGCTTGGTACGTCGGGACGGTTGAGGTGTTGATGCCGTTTCCAACGCCCGTGACGATGCGGCCAACGATGAACTGCGCCAGCTGGGCATGGCCGCGCATGGGTGTGACTTGAATAATGGTTCCGAGAATCATGATGATGCCGCCGAGGATGATGGCACGTCGGCGGCCGAGCAGGTCTCCAACAGCGAGGATGAAGACAGCACCTATCAAACAGCCAATCTCGTAGATGGCTGTTACCAGGCCCTGCATGGTAGAATCTCTAGTGGCGGGGAAGTAGTCGTTGAACACCGGGGAGGAAATGATGCCGCTCATAACGCCCTGGTCATAGCCAAAGAGGAGGAAAGCAGTGGTGGCGATGGTTGAGACGGCCAGGGAGAGAGGCCGCCCCGAAAGGCCAGCAAACGTAGGAGGCGCCATGATGGATTACCTATCTCAAGACACACAACATATGTGTGCTATGCCTTGGGTACGATGTAATACAGAGCAGGCGTTTGTGCTCGACTTGAATAATGGGGAATCGAAACACCGGAGGAAACATGGGGTTGAGCATGGTGATATATATACCCATGTATACCTACCTACCTACCATATGATTTGATATATGGGAGAATACTTGGTTTGAGCCCTCTGAGAGTCGCGAGAGTCGGTCAAGATTCCTGATCTGTTCAAAACGGCGAGTTATCCACATGACATCATAATCGTCCGAAACAGCTGGATCGTCGTATCGAAGCAGATTGCAAAGAGTCCTAGTCCGAGGCACGAGAATTCACGAGGGTGGGTCGGAGTGACGATCGAGCGGAGCCGCAGACTGAGGTTGTGTGAGTTGCAGCGGCCAACGAGATGTGCTGTTTTCTCTTTTCCAGCGCAGGATCTTCATGATTGTTTCACGCAATATGCGGGCAGATGGGGGTGGTTGACTCCAGAGGCCCCGTTGAGTGGTTTTTATCTAGCTGAGTTGAGGCCTTACACCCGTGCCACTTTCAGATTCACTTTTACAGATCTAAGTCAGTTTTCGCCGTCTTGTTAACAAAGTCTTGCTCAAATAAGATTTCAAATCACTATTAGCATTCATGGTATATTCAACTCAAACCGTCGATATAACACACAAGACGTGGCGTACAAACACATTAGCTGGATAGGAATAGCCTCGAGCCCGTGACAGATACACGTACCCGGCTCTCGACTACCGGAACCTCACCGGCACATGCGAAGAACGGTTCCAGTTTTTGGGCTGCTTGGTGCTTGGCTCCCCCCTCAAGTCAAGTCAGCACTTGAGTGGCCCAGTTAAAGCGAGTCATTTTGCGACGGGATGCGATATGCATACTGGGATCTTCCACCTGCTTTGATTCGTGCGACTGCTGGGAAAGGGGATGCCGAGTGTCGATCAGCACATGCAAATCGGGGCCGCAAACCCGAGAGACGAGGGTCTGCGAGGCTGCAAAATTTCGACAGCCCGTATGGTAGGTACTGTATCCGCTGGGATGGAGAGTTTGTACGAGTAGCACATGGCTGTGGCCAGAATAAGGGTTTTCCTGGAGATGGTTCCCGGGCTTGTATTATATGGAGGAGCCCATGGGGTCTGGTAGTAGTAGTACGAAGACGGGGAAAGAGACTGACTCTCGTCAAGATGCCCAATTACAGTAACGATGCACTAGGAACGAGATTGTGAGAGGTTGAATTCACTGAATCGTCTATACACTCAATAACATCAATGTCTGACTTTACATCACTCAAACTTGACTCTAATATGCAGCTCAACGAGCCTCATTCTTGGCAGACACTGATTTCAAAACAGACGTACCCACCCCACAACCCACATCACTCCAAGCAAGCAAGACAGAAAGCCACGTTTAGAATTTTTAAAAAATCTTCAGTATTTGTTTTTGCCGCTCATGATGGAATAAAACAACCGTCATTGGCTTGACTATTTCGTAAAAACAAAAAAAAAAAAAAATCTTCAGGTTTCGCAGGTCCAATGTTTTTTTCCTACTCAGTAAACCCGCGCCAAGATTATGACATCGTTGTGGATCTACACCAAGAATCGCTGTCTCGGACCAAGATCCACAAATCCGCCGGAACCGAATATCGGGACCGGCTGGGTTCACCGTTCAGCCCTGAGATGGGCAAATGGGACTTTTCTTCTTCTTTTTCTTTTCAGTGCTGGATGTGATAGGGCAACTCTTATCAATGGCTCGGCGAAACGAACCATCGAGAATGATGCTCGGTTAGCACTGGAACAGTTTGATCGCCTCGAGAATCATACAAGACTAGTACCTACCCTATACCCTATACCGGGCTGGTAATTTCATGTAAAGAAGGAAGAAAAAATAAAGGGGAACGAAATGAATTAATAAATTAATAAAGCATAAATAGACAATATTCAAAAAGTCAAGCAGTGTAAAAGGAATGGTTACATGTTTCCATATTGATCATTATGTACGTTGAACGCTGCTAGCCTGAAGACGCCGTGTCGTTTGTATCATTTCTCGTGATGCAAATCATATGCTGGCTATATCTAGCGAGCTCGGACAAAGATGATGTGCATCAAAGGGTTTGATAAGGAGAGTCAAATCGCAAAGACAGAAGAAGGAAAATCCAGCAGGATAAGAAAAAGAGGCAGACACGACAGATGACATGACGGACGGCGGGGAAAAGCAAGCTCACATGGAAAAGGAATATGGTAACATAGGTCCGTTTCACATGCTTGCTGACTTCTTGGATGTGCCATACCAACTAAATCTGTCATTCGCTTGAAATGGTGGATGTATGTAATAGAGAGAACCTTGCGGGTTCCGCTCATCGTCAGGAGTTATGGGTGGTAGCCCCATTGCTATATTCTCTCAGAGGCGTCCCACAACAAACCAAACAACAGCAGTGCCATCACCAGGCGTTGCGATCCCAGTTGGGGTCTAGAAATATTCATTGTCCCCAAGTCAGCCTCAACGCACTCTCAGCGAACAAGAACAAACAGCTTGACATACCCTGAACAAACGCGGCCAGCACCTTGCTACCGGTCTGCAGCAGCGGATGGCCCACGACAATCTTGAGGAACTTCTCCAGGCCGGCTCGTCGGTTCTCGATGACATCGTCGCTGAAGCGGTTGGTGAAGACCTTGCCGGGCAGCGGCGGGATCGTCACACGGGCGCTCTCGCGCTCGAGGATGTCGCGGAAGTATTCAAAGTCGGAGTACCGCCTGCGCACGCTGCTCTGGCGCAGCTTGAAGGCGGGGATGTTGGTGCGGCAGAGGATCTCGTAGTCGGTGTACATGGACCGGCCCATGCCGTGGGTTCGAGGATTCCGCACCTGTTGGTCGCAGCACAGAGGAGCATTAGCAATGCCGTGTGATGATGACGATGACGATGATGATGACGATGACAGTGATGATGCATCCAGACAGAGGCCTGTCCTCTTGCCCTTGTCCTGTTGCCACCCCTGAAACCTGTCCGTCTTTTTTTTTTCTTTCTCAGCCCCCCCTTTTGTTGTGTCGAATCCGTGCCATTCAGCTATAATGCTGTGCTATACTGCTGTCCAATTTTCCTCACCTCAATCTCGAGAAAGTTCTCTGGCGGACCGTAGATCTCGTCAAAGCTCTGCTGCCGCGTGTCCGGCATGGACTGCATGATGGGCCGATGCAGATCCGGCGACTTGCGGGCCGCCTGCGCGGCGTCCTGATTGTCCGACAGTTTGGCGGTGGTACAAGGGCGATGGCTATGGCTCGAGGTGTTGCGCGCGCACGCGAGAGATGGAGAGAGAGAGATCGCGCTGTTGATCAAGAGCGAGCTCGAGCTTCGATATTTGGATCCGAGCAAGAGAAGAAGAGGAACGACAAGCGATGCTGCTCCGTATCGCCGGGCCGCACAGCACCTTGGCAAAGCTGCTTGGAGTTGGAGTTGGAGTCGAGTCGGGAAATGCGCTCGATCGTGTGATGACCAGCCTTGGGCCAAAAGGTGGAGAGTGACGAGATAAATAATGCCTGCTTTGCACAATCGCGGGAAGCTGAACAAGGTGGGGTTTGCAGTTGCTGCTGTTCACGTGGGGGGGAAACTGAGCTTCCCCACCAGTTCTATGTTTGCCGTGCAGATTGTCTCTCATTTGCCTTCCATGTGATGAAGCATCAACTTGACGAGCGACTCTAATTCAGAGCTTGTCACGATGACGCTGCATGATTGATTGGGGTCAACCGCTTGCTGCATCAGGAAATCAGTGTATCGCAAACTCTACATGAGCCTTGAGTTTGTTTATCAATGCGTCTCCGATGTGGCCAAAAATCCAAGTCCAAGTCCAAGTCCAAGTCCAAGTCAAAGCAAAGGCCTCTTGTTATCGTAGCATGTCACTGGTGCTATGGATATAGCATGGGATTATCAGAGTATCACAGGCGGCGATAGTATCCCCAACTTGAACCCAATGTGCCCCCCGATAACAGGGGGCGTATATCATTAATTCCCTTCTACGGAGTACTCATTCCGATTATTCACTGCCCCGGCAATATGACCCAGGCTATGCTATCAGATGCAGCCCTTGTCGAAACGCAATGCTGATGCCATCGTACCACGGCTCCCCTCGACAGATTGGTTGTAGAGCCAGGACTAAAAGAACGAATACCGGCCCTTTTCACCATCTGGGGCTTCATGCAGTGTCCGTGCTACCTTGGCACATGCCGTCTTCATTCAATCTCATGTTGTGCAACTTGTTCACAGCGTTCATCATAAAACCGCTAATGGTAAATGAGCCCCTGATAACAACATCAAAGGAAAAAAAAAAAAGGTCGCCTCACCTTGAGCTCCCAAACTCCACAACAAGTCAACTTCCATGTATATCCAAAGACTCTGAAAATAAATAATAAAAATAAGGGCATCGGCTTCATCTAGATGATGCATGATTGCCAATGCCCCGGTGGGTGGAGTTGCTGGAAGTGCCGAGAGCTGTTTGAGGCCTTGAATCTTCTCAAGGTATCCTCCTCTCACGGATAATACCTGCTAGCTAAAGCTCAATATTCGTTGCCCATCACTTCTTAGTTGCAAACTTCTGATGGATTGCGCGAATCTGCTCATCGACATTGACATTCTGGAGGTGGTTGAGATGAGCTTGGCTCTTCCCCTCTAAATGTCCGTCGAAGCTTTGGATGGCCGCCTTCTTTCGCCTGGCTTGTTCATCCTCCGAGAGGGCGTTTCCTGTCGCAGGATCAAAGACATCGCTCCTCTGGCTAGCAAGTCGCTTCAGATTGTTGGCCACATCAACATGAGCAATGTTGGACGTAGCATAACGTGACTCGGCCTTGGCCTTTTGTTCCTTCCAGCTTGGATCCAGGAGTTCGACTGAGTAGCGAAAAAGGTTAGCCAGTGTTCAAAGTTTAGCATCGTCATGAGGTTGGCAACTTACTTCGCATGTGCGCTTCGAGTTCGTTGAGGGGAATCTGCTGCTTGCAGTTGGGGCACAGCGCCATCTGCGTTCCTTGCTTGGTTGCCGCCTTCTGTGCTGCCCGTGGCACGTAATTCTCCCGAATCTTCATAGGACCAAGGCCACCCCTCGCCTCTGAATGCGCCGCCTGCACACGAGCCTGTGCTTCGGATCTCTCTTGTATTCTCCGCAACTCCTCTTCCTCCTGAGCGGATGGCTGTGGCTGATGCACCTCGGCGCCGTAGACGGGCACAGGAGACGGCAATTGTGGCTGCTGCTGCTGCTGCTGTGGTGCGTATCCTGTATGCACAGGGAGGGGAAAGGAGGCTGGAAGAGCTGCTTCTGCGGCTCCGTTGTGCAGCTCGTCCTCTTCGCCTGGCATGGCCTCTTCGATTCGCAGGTTGGCACTGATGGATGCCTTGTTTCTGTCTTCCAAGGAAGCGTATTGCAGCTCGCCCAGGGTAGTGGGAGGCGGCAGATTGGCACTTTCGTCGGCGTCGGAGAATGTAATGGTCTCGACGATGACAAAGTCACCCCAATCGATTCGAGCAAACTCGGCCTTTTCGTCTTCTTCCTCGGCCTCCCTCTTCTTCCTCTCAGCCTCCTGATATTTGGCATACTCCGCCCTCTCTTTTGCTCGCTTCAGGACGTGGAATTTGTCCTTTACGTTTAGCTGCAGCTCTGCTGTCCGCTCCTCCTGCAGCTTGCCGCCTTCACCATCGAGTCCGCTCGCCCGCAAAAGCAACGTGTACTGGTCGACAATGTGCTGGAAAAAGTTGTGGAACGTGTGGTTGGGGATCAGGAATTGGAACTGGGGGTTGCCGGCCTCGCGCTGCGCCAGCTGCGTCATGAACTGCCGTCCGTTCTTGGCCACGAAAAGCGCCGTCAACCGAATCACGTCCAAGTCCTTCTGGTTGATGTGAGGCATTCGAGCGCAAAACTGAAAGTCGGGAGGCTTCGGCGGCCCCTTGGGCTTCTCGGGAACCGGGGCGATGGTTTCTCCCACTCGACCGGCCGCAATGTCGGTGCCGCGACCAGATCTGATCTCGCTCAGCCGCCACTGGTAGTAGGCGTGGTAGGCATCGTCGACGCTCAGAAAGCTGAACTTGGGGTTCTGCCGTTCCTTTTCCCGGATGCGATCCTCGAATACCGAGCCGTTTCGCGCGACATATCCAGCCGTCTTTTCGAGGATGTTTCGAATTTCGCGTGGCGGCAGAACCACACCGGCAGGAGCTTTGATGTCGTCAAGCGCGTTTGACGCACTTCCATTCGCCACTTCCGCAGCCATGTCCGCGATCGATGAAGAATAATCCCGGAAGAAGATGTGATTCTGCTTCTGCTGCTTCTGCTGCTTCTGCTTCTGCCTTTTGGAGGAGTTGAAGGAGAAGGGCCCGAAGAGATGGACGGCGATGCGATGGCGATGCAGCTTGGCTGGAAATTTCTCGGTTGCCTTGCACCAAGCACTCCAGCATTCGAATTGAGTCGGAAGCCGGAGCCATGTTAATCCGACCCGTTGTCGATGTCGCGCCACGTCCATGGTCGCATGTACTCCGTGTGGGGTGCAGAGTACAAGTACCCTGGACCTGGACCCTTCCGTGGTTGCGAGAAGCTCGGAAGATACTTACCTCTCTACCTTGTGCTTCCTGTCGTATAACATCATGGCATAAAGGGATCTGACATCCAATTTAACAACGTCGAGACTTTTAAACGTGTAGTTTTTATCATTAGGTACCTTTTTCCTTCACGAGAAGCAAAATTGGACAGCAAATATGGCAGCCTGGTTAATGTATCTGCTGTGTATTCAATTCTATTTGCAGCCACCTTGCCCAAGTTTCAGGTACCGATACCACTAGTCACTTTCTGGGGAGCACATGTCAATTGGCCCAGAACGAACTTGAGCGCTCTTACTGGGAGCCTCGACCTCGCTACGAACCGAATTGGCTCCCAGTTCATCTTAGTGCGGCTGAAGCCGTCTTCATCGAGGGCTTTTGTGACGAACGGAATTGATGCGGGCCGTGCAATGAGATTGAGCTGCTGCACGTACTGGTAGTACAGGTACTGCTTGTACTTGGTAGTACGTGTAGGTGCTATATTCGCTTAATCTGTATGGAGAGGTACCTTACCTCTTCGTAGAAAAGGCGCTATAGGTTTCCAAGTACCTAAAATTTTTGAATCGTTTCTAGGTACTACACATATACTAAGGTAAATCGGACAAGATTGACTCCCAAGCTTCTTTTGGAGTAGCATTGCCCATTGCTAATTGGATCATCCTTTTAGTGCTAGTAGCCAATAGTACATCCCAAAGGCAAGGGGGCCCTCTCCAACACGAGGCTACAACGGGGCCTTTTCTGCAAGTCGAGGCCATCGCCCGAGTTACCAGCTGGCTACTCGCGCTTTGTATGGCGCCACAGCCGCGGCAGCTCGTACCTGTACCTGCCCTCGGTACCTGCTATGGCTGTGCACCGGCACAGTGGCGCCAAGGCTGAAAGTCCTCCCTGTTAAGGCCACTGTAGCTACAATGCTGGAAGCGGACGCGAAGCTGAGAAAACGGTTGCGCAGCTCCTCCTCCCACCCCTGACTGGCTTGGTTTGCCCATCACGACAACCATTTCCGGCTTCTTCTCCCCTTCTCCCTTTATTTTCTCTTCCTCTCCGCTTGCGCGCTGCGACTCTCGACTCGCGGCTGTCGTTTCTTATTCTTGCCCGGCCGAATTGGGCTTGTCTCTTGTCCATTGTTCCTTTTGTCGCCTTCTTCCATGAGGCATCTTTATTAATTTCCCCACGGCTCGTCTCCTTCGTTCGATACACTCATTTACCGGTCCGATCTGGACATTTTCCACCCCCCGAGAGCTCGGTCCTCTATTCTCTAGTCGCACGATTCGACCGCATATTACTCCTACTCCGTCGTCTACGCTTTTTTAACCAACAATCCCCGCCAAACTCTTCGCCATGGCGAAAGCGACGGCGCGGGGCCGCAGCCCTCAACCTCCCCTCGTCGCAGAGAAGCAGCCCTTGGCTGCACCAGTCGCATCCACCAAGCCCAAGCCCAAGAAGAGCACATCGTACAAGTCTGACGGCGTTGCCGACAACGATGTCTTCCTGCTCCCTGGGCCCGACTATGTGGCGGCCCTCGGGGTGACTGTCCTGGCCACCATTGTGCGCCTCTTCAAAATCTACCTGCCCACCAGCGTCGTATTTGATGAAGTCCAGTGAGTGTGGCCTCT